GAGGCTTTGCTAGGAGGGGCTATTCCTTGGAGAAGGATGTGATGCTGGGAAGGGTGGAGGGTCAGCAAAGGAAAGGTAGACTCTAGGCCAGGTGGATTGATGTGGTGACTGCTGCAGTGGGCTCCTTTATGCCAGGAAGTGTGAGGATGGCACAGGATAGAACAGGGTTCAGCTCTTTTGTTCATAGGGTCTCTATGACTTGTACTCAATGGCATCTAACAACAAACAACAATATATTAAAAAAATACTAAAAGCAGGAACATAACTGATACTTGTATGCCGATATTTATTAGAGCATTATTTACAACAGTCAAAAGGTGGAAATAATTGAAGTATCCATAACAGATGAATGGGATAAACAAATTGTGATACATACATACAATGGGATATATTCCAATGTGAAAAGCAATGAAGTCCTGATAATTTTGCAACATGAATAAATCTTGAGAATATTATGCTCTGTGGAATAAGTTAAACACATGAGGACAAATACGGCATGATCCCATTTAATATGAAACACCTAGAATAGATAGATTTGTAGAGACAGAACATAAATTAGAGGTTCCTAGAAGCGGGCAGATTAAAGATGAAGGAGAAAGAAGAATGGAAAGTTAACACATAAAGGAAGGAGAGTTTATATCTGAGATGATGCAATACTTTGGGAAACAGTTGTGACAGTTGTGCAAGACTGTGAGTAACATTACTGCCAGTGAATTGTATCTAAAACAGAGCGTGCAGCCAGTCCTTCCTGGTGCAGTCATGACAAACAGCAAAACTGGAATGGATTAAAATTTGCAAAATTTTGGTCTACCGGAACTGTAGTCAGAATGGGAAGAATTACAGATCAGTACGGTGCTAGAAACTTAATCTCCTCCTTGCCCAGCAACCAGATCTCTTGATGTGCGGAGTGCGAAACAATGACACCCCACTCAGAGATGGCAGCTGGCCGTGTCAGTCCAAATGTGTGTTGTCCTCCACAGCCTTGGCAATAACCTGTTTACTCACATCCACATCAGTTTCCTAAAAAGCCCACTACATCTCCTGAGACCTCCTAATTCAGGACTTCAACTCACAATTATCCCCATTCCAGCTACCATTCATTATCCTTTTCACAAATCCAGTTATCATATTTTCACAAATTTGGGTCTGTTCTAGTTTCATCTCACTGGCCAGGATTGAACCAGGAAGAACTGGTTTGAAATCCTGATCTGAAAATGGTTGAGATGGCAAATTTTATGTAGTATATTTTTTACCACAATAAAAAGAAATAATTTTTTCAAGTGGCTAAGACCCCACTTTGGTTTTTTTTTTTCCTTAGGAAAATGGCAAAGGCCCCAAGAGCATCAGTGTAATTGCTCTTATATTGAGAGGTGTCAGAACAACTTATCCTCAAAATACAGTAATAATCTTATACTGTAGATTGTGTTACATTCAACTTTTCCCCCTGTAGCTTTTAGAAATAACTGTAAGGAAGGAAAAGCCTGGTAATAAATGGATATCAAGTCTTTTTCATTTTTAAAGGGGGGAAAATGTTTCTCAAAAATTTTACTCTTCTTTTCCAGGCTTTCATCTTTCTATTCTGGACTTCCTTCCCATGCCACTTTAAACAGAGTAAAGATTTCCAAACAAGGTCTCTATCAACCGCTTACTGAAAGTTCTACAATGTGTTCTAGTGATAATTTAGATACATTCCTATTAGCCATTGTTGTTGTTATTGTTATTCCAATCAATTATGACTCACAGCAACCCTATGAACACATCAGTACCTGGCCCTGTCTTGTGCCTTGGTCACGATCTTTTCCATGCCTGGCATCCCACTGTTACAGTCTTTGTGTCAATCCTTCTCGTTGAGTGTTGTACTCTATTTTTCTGACTTTGTACTTTTCCAAGCATGATGTCTGTTTCAAAGGACATCATGTTCCCCCTCCTGACAACATGCCTGAAGTGTATGAGACCCTTGTCAGGACAGAACAAGGGAACCGTGAATGGTTTTAAATCAGGAAAGGTATGGCTCAGGGTTGTATCTTTTCTCCATATTTATTCACTCTATATGCTGTATGCTGAGGAAATAATTCAGGAAGCTGGATTATATAAAGAAGAATGTGGCATCAGGATTGGAAGCAGACTAATCAAAAGCTGTGCTTGCCGATGATACAACTTTGCTTGTAGAAAGCGAAGACTTGAAAGCATTTACTGAAGAAAAGTAGCCACTAGGAGGCTCTTATTCCTCCTTATCTTGTAAGATCAAGCAGATCTCCTTAATTTGAATACAAAGTGTGAGTCCAGTCTTGCATCCACCAGTTATTAACAGTCTGAAGCAAACGGTTACCATTCTTAACTTTTAACTAAAAAGCTATAGATTCGAGCCCACTCACTGGAACCTCTGAAGGGTCTGGCAATCTATTCTAAAAATCAACCAACAAAAATTCTGTGGAGCAAATTCTACTCTGACACGTGGGCTCCCCCTAAGTTGGAAGTGACTAAAGTGAAGCTGCTTTATTTTGCTCTGTTTTTCCTTTGGGTCCAAAAGAACCCTGAGTTTGTCCCTGTGAAAAATGGTGGCAGTTGATTTTTCACTAAGATACACTATAAATTTAAACTGCTCTCTTCCAAAAATCTGGCTACCACCCAAATTTGATGTCAAGGAAAATGTTTCAATCCTTAATTTTGTTAGTGATTCATGTTGTTCAGGCAATATGTCCCAAGCTGAGAGCAAACCAATAATAACTTTTAAATGCAATATTAATGCCAACCCACCAGCATTAGTCCAATATAACTCATGTTGTCCAAGGTCTTAAAAATAATATGTCGAGTCAACCAATAAAAAAATTCTTGAACTCCTACAAGATTCCAGTCCCTGTACAAGAGACCCCAAAACACAGAGATGGAATAATCATGATCTCAGGACAAGTAAAGCGAGAGAAGTGCTAGCATAGAAGTCTGTACAGGATGTAAGATGAGATAAAAGCGGGGTGATAAATTCCAGCTAAGAGAGCTGGAAAAGTCTTCACAAACAAGGTGAAGCCTGGGCTAGGTCTTGAAAATAAGTAGGTATAAGCCAGGGTGGGGTTCCAATTAGAGTAGTAAAGAAGGCCTCATATCATACATTGTATTAAGCCTGAGAGTTTACAAAGCACTTTCTCTTGCATTGTTTGATTTAATCCTCCAAACAGGCTAAGGATTAGCATAAGAGATGTCTGAGCTGTAAAGACCTTTAATTTCAGATGATGAAACTCAGAGCCAAAAAGGGTAAATAATTTTTTAGAAGTCCAACAGTTAATGAAAGGCAGCCAGCCTGAAACACAACACCAGTGTAAGTTAAGGCTTAATAGCAGCGGTGTGCTGGAGCCAACTTGTACTGGCTCAGGAAGGCCAACTGTTAAATTTTCAGGAATTTTGAAAGCCTATTTATTGACAACCCCTTGAAAGCTTGAAATCAGCTATGGTGGGAGTATTTACACCACAGACATCGGCAAATGCTACACATCAGGTCTTTTGTGCTTTTTTCTTTCCGGTTTTGGTTTTGGTTTGGGGTTTTGTGGAGGGGTGTAGCACTTTACCAGCATATTGCTGCTAGTATGCAGTAGTATTTTCCAAGAGACCATCTCTATATAAAACGGAAGTACTGGGTAGTGCTAGTCGAAAATCCTTTCTCATATCACTTACCTATTATTTAGAAGTCAATTACGAGATAAGAATAACCTGAGTGATGAGGCCATTTTTTAGAAGTAATGTTGCCAAAATAATTTTATAGCATGCTAATTATTATTTATGAAATGGCTTACTTGATACATGCCCAGGCTTTTTTTTTGGGGGGGGGGAATAAGACATATTCTTTAGTCCTGAGGGAACATTTCAATGTCTCTGTCGATGTGAATATTGACCAGCTAGTTTGTTCATTTTTAGGTCATTCCTGTCAGTTTTACAAATTCCAGTTCTACTTCTGCTCTCATTTGCTAACAGAAGTTCTGTTTGCTCACAAAAATAACTAGTAGGAGCTCTGGGGTGATTTGTACTTCATAAAAAATCATACATATTGAAAACAAGGGGGGATTTTTATCCTATTTATCCAGTGCTCTAAGTTAGAAATCTTCAAAACCTGCATATTTGTAAAACCCCTGCTTATTTTAGTAACACCTAACTGGGCCCCTTCATGTTAATGGGTCATCAGTCCCTTGCTGCCTTTCTAAGAGTATTGTCTGCCTCAGTTGACCTAGTTTATAAACAATTTTAGCAAAATGTTAAATAAACAGAACTCCTGAAACGCAGGTAAGTCAAACCAGGCCAATCACTCAATTAAAGCATCTAGCAGGGAATGTGCAGCCATTTGGGGAGTTGCACAAGGTGCTACATTGTTAATTCACGTTTTCATTTTAAACAGCCTCACCTCATACTAACTTACTGTAGATCTCCTGAAAACTCCACAAGTAGCATACTTGGAATATCAGGCATTTTTCTTCAAAACATCTGGGATTCTCTTTAAGAGCTGGTAACTCAGTTTTATATACTGGCGTGTCTATGTGGGTAACAGATATTTACAGATATTGAATTTACTTTTTAAAAAAAGTCACCACATAATTTTTGTGCCTTCTGATATAATCCTTCCAGAGAGGTGTTGAAGACATTTCTTTGGACTTCTTTTAAGTCTATTTCTATGATACCACATATCTTAAGTTTAAGTATTTTTTTTTAATTCTTAGAAATATCTGATAAATTCTTTTATGCCTTTTGTGTAGTTGAAGGATCCCAGATGAGGCAATGGGTGCAGTCTTGGGCTGCTAACCAAATAGTCAGCAGTTCAAACCCATCATCTTCCCCACAGAGAAAAGCTAGTGTAGTCTCTATCTGCAAAGATACATGGCCTCAGAAACTCTGGGGGACAATTCTAGTCTGTCCTATAGGGTTACCAGAGGTTGGAACTGACTCAGTAACAGCAGATTTATGTTTTGATTTTATTACATTTGTGTTATTTTACTTGCACAATCTCTCTTTGTCTCTAGAATTTACTTGGAACCCACAATTTGGGAAGAGTTTACTATGAACCCATAAAAGACAGGCATGGAAACATACTCATAGTCACCATCAGAGAAGTGGAGATGCTCTATTCATTTTTTAATGGAAAATGGATGCAAATCTCAAAGTTACAAAGCCAAAGGAAGTCTCTGTCAACACCGGAGGAACCAACAGCCTTAGACATTTTACTGATAACCATTCAGGTATGTAATTTTTTTCAATGTCTTCATATCTTTGAAGTTTTAAGCACACTTACTGATGCTCTAATGAAGTATATACCAAAAGCCAGTTACATATGCAAAAAATAAAATGGAGAAGCCCCAAAGACATGTCACTACTCATACTCTACAGACAGGAAATATTTGTTGTTGTTGTTGTTGTTGTTGTTGTTGTTATGTGCCGTCGAGTCACCTGCGACTCATAGCGACCCTATATACAACAATCAAGGAAATATTTAGAAGCTAATTTTCATTTATTCCCCTCCTGATATGAAATTCATAAAACTGTACCTACCCAAAAATGATCAATCAGAAACAATGGGAGCAATACTAAATTGAGTATCCACAGATAGTATGATCAAATTATGAATCCGATACCTGAAGTGAATGATATGGGAATATCATAATATACTCTGAAATCAAATCTCTCTTTCTCATTGTCATCAAGTTGAAGCCAAGTGACCCTTCAGTGGGTTTTCAGAGGCCACAAATTACATGAAAGGACATTGTCCATCTTGCTCCCATGCAGCAGCTGATGGATTTAAATGGCCTGCCTTTGGGTTGGCAGCATAACTTTTTAACCTCTAGGCCACTGTTGTTGTTATTAAGTTCCATCAAGTCAAGAATGACCCATAGCAATCCTATCAACAGCAGATCTGAATTCTCTCCTCTGCTGTGCCACTCTCACCATCTCTGATACACTTGACAGTCATCATGTCAATCCATCTCATTGGGAGTCTTCCTCTCTTTGGTGATCCTCTATCCTTCCAAGCATGGAATCCTTTTTCAAGAGATCCCTAAATTATGTAAATATATATATATGTGTGTGTATATATATATATATATATATATGTATATATATGTATATATATATATACACACACACACACACACACACACACACACACACATATATATGGGGTTTTTACATCTATACTTACTGCTGTCCTACAGGACAGAATGGAACTGGCTCACAGGGTTTTAAAGGCTATAAATCTTTACAGAAGTCAGTTGCCTATCTTTCTCCCATAGAGCAACAAATGGGTTTGAACTTTCGTCCTTTCAGTTAGCAATTGTTTACTTTAACCACTGTGCTACCAGTGCTTATATATTTTTAACAAAAATATTTTAATCATCTTTACTCTTGCTTGATTTTTCCAGAAATTCCTTAGGGTAGGCAGGATGATTAAATCCACTGTACAAATGAAGCAACTAAGGCTCAAAGGAATTGAGTGACATAGGTTCTACACAGAAGCAGATTAATGATGTTACTAATCCTGAACATAGGGGCTTTGCTTTTTTCCAAGATCCTGGTAGGGTCCCTTGCAATTTTACACTCATAATATTGGGTTTTTTCTTCTTTAAAAAAGACATCAAATATTAAAGTAATCTCAGACTTCACAAAATTTGAGTCTGCCCCTGATCACACAGCTAGAACATTGGCAGAACTCAAATATTATAAACAGAAGCAGGGCTTCTTTTTGTTGTTACTTTCTAGAACAGGAGTTAGGGTTTTAAGCAGTTAAGTATGGGAGAAGAAGACAATACAGAGGACAAAAGCCTCATGCTGAAAACCTTTGAGTAGCCAAAAGTCAAACCCCAGGCAGCTTAGGGCCAGACTCTTAGCCTATTAGTAGTAAAACTGGAACACAAATGGTCTTGAGTGGTTGGTATTCTGAGCATTCCACCATACTGTGTCACATGTCTTTATATTAAATATGAGTGTCAAACTGTCTCTCTTTCATTTTTAAACCCACTGATGGTGATGAGTTACATGAAACGCTCTAGTTAAGTGAAAGAAATTGGCAAAAATCCCTTTCAGCCAAGGACACAAACACACGCAAAACAGTCAACCTGGAGGAATAGGAAAGGAAGGACTCAGTTACACACAAACAAGCTTGATCCAGACCTTGGTCCCAGTAGTCCTTCATGGTCATCCTAAACAGCCAAGCTTCTGATTTACTTCCCATCTTGACAGAGGGACGGCTACTTCAATAACCTCACCTCTCCATTACCTGCACTGGCCTAAATCAGGGCAAAGTCCAATAAGCAAATGTAATCTAATTGGTCCAAGTCAATGCTACTGTATTGGGTGTCATGGAATTTGATGCATTTGTAATTGATAGGGAATATATGTGTGTGCAGATGAGATGGGGGCAGGGAACACAGACACGTTTGTGGCTCCCCTCTTCACCTTTTATAAGCAAGTGCTAAAAGAAACATTTTAAAAATCATAATAAATTGAGCTTTTACAGGGTGACTAATACACTAATCCCCTATAGGGATAAACTGGGGTCTGGGCTACCTTTGCTCCTAGAAACACAGCACAGGCCCCAGCATGATATAATACCTAGTTTCTACGAGACTTATTACATTAAAAATGTGTTACAGGTGCAGAAAAATTCCAATCTGGCGAAAAGTTGTTAGAGAAGGAGACCAAAAATAGAGGTAGTATCAGGTTTCCACACAGATCCAAGTGGAAAATTTACCCCCGCTGACTGGAACATTCCTGCTTGATGTCATTCCCCACCCACCCCCACTCTCCCTTCTCCTCTCCCCACCTTCCCCCACCCTTCCTTCTCCTCCACTTGAACTTGGTCATATTCAAGTTCAAGTTGAAGCTGAAGAAAATGAGAACAAGTCCATGAAAGGCAACAAATGAATTTGAGTCTATCCCACTTGGCATTTAGAGACCATCCCAAAAATAGATTTGACACATTTAATACTAGTAGTTGAAGACCAAATGAGTTGTTTGATGACCTTAAGGACACCATCATGAACAAAAGAGACAGTCACTAAAAAAATAACAGGAAACAAAGAGCAAAATCTGTATCAGTAGAGACTCTGAAACTTGCTCTTGAACACAGAGAAACTTGAGCAAAAAAAAAAAATGAGCTGAATCATTTCAAAGGGTACCTCAAGAATACCAACTAAAGTGTAACAATGAAATGTGCAAACACCTGGATTTAGAAACCAAATAGGGCAAAACACACTTGGCATCTCTCAAATGAAAAGAAATGAAAAATAATTCAATACACTTAACAGGTAAGGATTCTGGGCAAAAATACTGACTAACCCAAGAAATATCAAAAAAAGATGGAAGGAACACATATAGTCACTATGCCAAAAATAATTTGTTACTATTCAACCATTTCAGGAGGTCATACACTAAAGGAGGTTGTTTAAGAATTTAACAGAACAGCAAATATCAAATGCTGGCGAGGTTGCAGAGAAACTGGAACTCTTATTCACTGTTGGTGGGAGTGTAAAATGGTGCAATCACTATGGAAGGCTGTATGGCGCTTTCTCAAAGAGTTGCAAATAGAAATACCATTTAATCCAGCAATTCTATCACGGGGAATATACCCTAAAGAAACCGTAACTGCCACCCAGGCAGATATATGCACACCCATATTTATTGTGGCTTTGTTCACAATAGCAAAGAGTTGGAAACAACCCAAGTGCCCATCAACAAATGAATGGATAGAGAAGCTGTGATATATTCACACAATGGAATACTAGCTGCATTGAAAAACAAGGAACTAATGAAATATTATACAAAAAGGGTGACCCTGGAGGATATTATGCTGAGTGAAATATCTCAGTCACAAAGGAACAAATATTGCATAGGGCCACTATTGTAAAATGGAACTGACATCAGGGTTGGGGGGAGACTGAGAAAGATGGGATAAATAATGTAAACTGCATTGAAACAGATGAGGGAGAGAACTTTTTTAAAGGGATATATGATTAGGTATTATTGTCATGACAGGAGTCCAGAATGAAGGCTGCACAGTGGAGTGGACTTGGGGGGAGGGACTGTATAACAATAAAAGAATTTTTCTTTTACTTTTCAAAGAGAAGAGCAAATTGGGAGGGAGAGGTAGGCAGGGAGAAAAGTGCAACAATGAATGAATGGAAATTTTAGAAAAATACCCTGAAGTTATTAGTGAAAAACAATACTCCAGGAATTTATAGAATATCAGTTGAGATGTTTCAACAAACATGTAATGCTTGAAGTACTCACTTGTCTACCAATACATCTGGAAAAGAATTACCTGGACAAGCAAATGGAAGAGATATTTAATTGCAATCCAATAGAATGAAGAAATATTGAAAAATATTATTATCATACATAAAAAAATCTTCTGTCAATAATTTTAAAATGTTTATAGCAAAACATCAAATAGGAACCTGTTGGAATTTTAAGCCAGATTCAGAAGAAGACAGAGTACATGGAAGAAGAGATATCATTGCTAATGTTAGATGGATCTTTGTCCAGAGCACAGAATACCATAAAGATATTTACTCATCTTGTATAAACTATGCAAAGATATTCCACTTTGTGAGTCACAAATTATGGAAAACATTACAACATCACAATAATTTAGTCTGTATGTTGAGCAAATAATCCGAGAAGCTGGACTGTATGAAGAAGAATGTAGCACCAGGATTGGTAGGAAACTCACCAATTAACAACCTGCATTATGAAGAAAACCTGACCCTTCTTGTTGAAAATGAAGAGGACACAAAGCACGCAATAATGAATCTGAAATATACTACAGCCTTCAACATAGATTACACTTCAATATGAAGAAAAGGAAAATCTTCACCACGGGGCCAAATAGCCACATGATGATAAATAGAGGGGGGAAATGGAGTTTTAAAAGATTTCATTTTACTTGGATCAACAATGAATACCATGGAAGCAGCAGTTTAACAAATGATGATTCATACTGGACAAACATGCTGCAAAAAAAGACCTCTTTAAAGTGTTAAAAAGATGTCCTATTGAAGAATTAGATATGTTTCAGGAGGTCACACTCCTAAGACATCATATTTTCAATTGCCTCATAACAACTGGCAAAAGAACATGGAAGAACAAAGAGGAATTGGTATTTTAAATTATGACGTTTGTGAAGAATACAGATCATACCACAGACTACCAGAAGAACAAGTAAATTTGTCTTGGAGGAAGCACATCC